GCTTACTATCTTGCGACCAACCACGTGGATCGACAATGACTTCCATTTTGGTGCCCTTAAAGACAGACTTGAGCCTCACATCGGACAGTTTTTGCAGGTGATGGAGAAGAAAGAGAAGGAGATGGGTGGAACTATAGTACCACTGTCCACTCGCATGCGCGATTCGTGGACTTCCAACAGATTCTGGTTCAATGCCGCGATGCAAGATAGCTGGAGCATTGATGCTGTCTATTGGGCTGCGCTACATAAGCCGGGTGATGAGATCCTGGATGATGATCTGAAGGACGAGATGGAGGCGTTTGTGGAGATGAAAATGGACCAACTGGATGCATATAAGGCTGAATGTAAGGCACGTGGAATCTGAGATGCAAAGAGTATACCGGGGTGCTTCACGATACCAAGTTTGATGCAGCCGATACAACTCGGCTCTTCGTCAGTCTCATCGTCTGGAATTCGATTCCCCGCATCCCAGCTTCCATCAAACGTGCTGTTTAAATTTAAGGTGCGGGCCGAGAAGCGTTCTGAAGTCCCCATGATCATTCTGTTACACTAGTTATCGTAACTACCTAGGTAGGTTAGCATGTTTCCTGTCATCCCGACAGCGAGCCAATGACGACGTCGACGATATGGAGGACTACGATGGATTCGGCAAACGACCGAAGCGCTTTACATTGTTCAGTAATAGTTTGTGTAAAAGACGGACGCACTATGGTAGTTGGTGCCCGGAGCAGGTGGATGCAGCTAACGGGGTAATGTTCCACGAATCTGGGGTACGGTACTTGGGGGCTACATGGGTATGAGCCGGACGTGCTAATGCTTTGCGGCTCGCGAAACTCGTGGAAGCAATTAAGCGGACTTCGTTGTTTTTCTTGGGGCCTGTCCATGTGGTCAGTCAAGCACTCCAGGGTACCTACATGCCGACTTCAAACCAATGAAGTTCGATAGAAGCCGAAACTATGTGCATGCTGGGAGACTACCTACAACCGAGAACAAGAGATCGTCGCGTCCACGGAAGCCATCGAAGATCCGCTGATCATGCGATGTTGGATGAGAAACATGTATATAGCCAGGAAAGATGAACTTCCAGATGCCCTTCACTAGGTCAGTCAATCGCTCAAGTGTCGATCTCTACTACTTCTTTTCTCCCCAAGAGCTTTCGAGACGAAAGATCTATCGACCATGTTCTCCAAGATTGCATCTCTTCTCGCTCTTGTGGCCAGTGCAAATGCACATGGCTATCTCTCTTCTCCCATGAGCAGGACTGGTCTGAATGCTCAGGTAAGTTATGGCGTCCAGCTGGGGACATCAGAGGTATACCCCGTCCCGTCATTAACACGTTACAGTCTGGCGCTGATACATGCCCGGAATGTACCATCCTCGAACCTGTTACAGCATGGCCTAACCTTGACGCCGCAGCGGTGGGTCGCTCCGGTCCTTGCGGATACAATGCCCGCGTGTCCGTCGATTACAATCAGCCCGGTCCTCGCTGGGGTTCGCAACCCGTCATCACCTACAAGTCCGGTGATGTCGTCGATGTACAATGGTGCCTTGATGCCAATGGTGACCATGGTGGCATGTTCAGCTACCGCATCTGCCAGAATCAGGCTCTCGTCGACAAACTTCTGACACCGGGTTACCTTCCTACGGAAGCCGAGAAGCAGGCTGCTGAAGACTGCTTCGAGGCTGGTGAGCTGAAGTGCACTGATGTTGCTGGGCAGACGTGCGGTTACAACTCTGACTGTCAAGAGGGTCAGCCTTGCTGGAGGAATGACTGGTTCACATGTGAGTATTTCTCAATGTTCGGGATAGTAACGCAGTACTGACGCTAAGTAGGTGGTGGCTTCAATGATGGCTCAAAATGCAGGAGCGTCGACAACGCACCACTCAATTCGTGCTACACCAGCATCGCAGGCGGATACACAGTCAGCTCGAAGATCAAGATCCCCAACTACTCAAGCAACCACACGCTGCTGTCGTTCAAGTGGAACTCGTTCCAAACACCGCAGGTTTACCTGACTTGCGCAGACATCAAGATTACTGGCAGTGGCTCGGGCGGCTCAACCCCACCAGCTTCGAGCAAGGCTCCCGCGTCTTCAACGAAGGCGACTTCAACCTCGACGGCGGCACCTACTGGCTGCGCATCGCCTGTCTCCACAGTAGCTGTGACGTTCAACTCAAAGACCACGACATCGTTCGGTCAGACTGTCAAGATCGTTGGTTCGATTGCCCAGCTCGGTGGCTGGAACGCAGCGTCTGCGCCTGCGCTATCTGCGAGCCAATACACCACCGCAAACCCGCTTTGGTCGACAAAAATCAATCTTCCGGCCGGTGTCAGCTTCGAATACAAATTCATCAAGGTCGAGAGCAGTGGTACCGTGACCTACGAGTCAGGTGCTAACCGCGTGTATACCGTGCCGAAGGGGTGCTCGAGCGCGGCCACCGTTGCTAGCATGTGGAAGTAGGGCCGCAGGTTCCGGAGAGAGAAAGAATGTTGTATGCTTTCTTGGTCGTATTAGAACGGCATGGAATGTGTTGGTCGTTCAATGTAGCAAATAATGCCAAAGACTTGCTGTAACCCGTCACGCCGACCGACAGCGCTCGCGATAATTGATGATGTAGAAGCCCCAGAAGGCTTCGAATTTCATTGGAAGAATATTAGGGTTGGGGCGCATAATCTTCGTCGTGAGATGTGAGGATGGTAGGTGTTCGCAATGGCTGGCGACTGCCACGCCGTGACGCGACATCCTGACGTGACAACACTAGACTGAAATCAGGCTAGCGCTTGTTGACACCAGCCATCGATACGAAACCGCTGCCTCCCCTACACTCAAACCCTCGCATTACCCTCAACCCTTACATTCTACGTATAGCTGCCTTTCAAATTGCGTACCTTGATATCGCAGACACACACCGCGCACATAATTGTCGATCTCAATGAAGACCGAATTTGACAAAATCGCGGAAGAGGCTGGGAATGCTGAGCTCGAGGCTTGGGCTGCTAAAGTAAAGGCCGCGAACGAAGAGATTGTCACTTTTGTAGGTCAGAAGCTGAGGGCCAATGTTCCGGGAGAATTCGTCCGATATCTTCAAGGTTCATACAATGTCAATCTTGTCATAAGATTCGGCGAAGAAGACGTCGTCATCATTCGTTTCCCGAAGCGAGGAATAACTGCTGCCAAGTTTCTCGAGGAAAAGGTCAGGAATGAAGTTCGGTTTCTAGAGTATCTGACCGAAAAGACTGCCATACCTGTCCCCAAGATACGTGACTGGGGAACGGCTAAGGAAAGTCCCTCTCAGCTTAGTCCATATATCATCATGGATTATATTGAGGGCACAGAGCTGTCAGAACTCTTGCAGCAGCTTCAAGACGATCACAAAGAAGCAGAAGTCGATCTTGTATATGAGCAGATAGCCGACTACATGCTCCAGATTTCGCGACTGCACTTTTCGGCCATTGGACCTGTCAACAAGGATACGTCGGGAGCGTGGACGGTGACTGACCGTCCTCTAACTACAAACATGAACAGCCTAGCTTCTGTCGTTACAGACTACCCGGTAGATCAGTTTCCTAAAGTCGCGTTCACCAACACCCAAGCCTTCCTTCATTACCGTGCAGACGAGAATTTGGTCCATCTCCAAGTACAGCGGAACCTTGCACACAGTCGTCAGGATGCAGAGAGATGCTTTATTGCACGCCACAAGTTCAAACAGCTGATCGAGCGATTTCATCCGCCATCAGAAGCCGACAACGGCCCATTCATACCGTATTGCCATGACTTCCGTCCCAAGAACATGCTCGCTAGGTACGAGGAAGGATCACTGAAGATCGTAGCGGTTCTGTATTTTGAGTATGTTAATACCATGCCTGCTCAATTCGCTCACGACCCACCATGGTGGCTCGCCATGGTCAGTCCTGGCCTCATGCTTGAGAAATTCGCCATGGAGGACTTTGAAGAGTTATACGTACCACGCTTAGAACAGTTCCTCCGAGCCATGGCGAAGGCTGAGGCGAAGAAAAATGCAAGTCATGGGAGAGAAGCGTTCTCTCTGACTAGTCGTATGCGAGACTCTTGGACGTCAAAGAGGTTTTGGTTCAACTACGGAATCAGGAAAGGCTGGAGTGCTGACGTGATATACTGGAGTGCCCTTCATGAACCGGGAGATGAGAAGCTTAGCGGGGACTTGGAAAAGGAGATGAGTCTAATTGCTGAAAAGAAGATGGAGCAATTGGCTGCGTACGAAGCCGAGTGTGACGCACGTGGGATAGCGCAAAGCGGCTGATATAGCAAAGAGAACTGTAGTTATTGGGTCTTTCGTCATGCAAGCGTTCCCATGATTTGTTTAGGTTCTCAAAGGTGTTTGTGTAGTCAAAATGTAGGTCCAAAATATCTATCATCTTGGAACCACTTTTTGACCAAACAGACACCTTTGAGCCAACGCATCCATGACCTCCTCAGTTACTATCATTTTGAAAACGCCACCAAACGCCTCGCCATGCTGAACTCCCAATGCGAACCAAGGCAAACATCCCCCATATCCCTGCGCTAAGCACACTGCTCTGCAGCCGAGTCGCGAACTTCATACTCACAGTCGTCTTCCCCTGTTATCTTCACTAGGACTGACAGTCCCACTTCCATTCATCGACCCATAGCCATTCGCTCCTTGACTTCCACTGGCAGCTGGCATAAGCGACTCTCTTGCTTCCTCAGCCTCCTCTTCAATGTTCTCCCTTTGGATCCTACGGCTCTTTCGCCACACAAACGCCACGAGGGCTAGACCCACGAGCAGCGCCAAGCTAAGCAAGATGACGTTGATGGGTACAGGGTCGTTCTTAAAGGTCTTGTGTGTGGCGGCGTCGAGAGCAGATTGCGAGAAGTTGAGGACACCGGCGAGACAGATAATGAGGCCGTACACTTTTCCGAAAGTGGCGAAACCGAAGACTTTGGCGGAGTAGTCGCTGATGATGTTAGTGAGGGATCTGGGTGTTTTCGGAAGGTGACTTACGAGACTGCAGTGTAGTACAAAGGTCGGTAAAGCACGAACAGAACGATGTTGGCGTATGCAGCCCATGTCTCCGGAATCACGCCTAGCACACCAATTGTGGTAGCAACAGTGACGAGCAGCGCCATCGTAAAAGTAGTGCTTGTGTTGTCCAGAAGCAGACCGATGAACGGTACAGACAAAACACCACCGACCGGAAGCGCGACATCGAAGAAGTTGTTGATCTCGACCGCCTTCTCGTAGTCATGGAAAAGATACGTGTATTGCGTCCGAATTGTGGCAACGAAGTAGTTGATACGCGTCATCTGCAGCACAGTGAACAGCGTAATGAGGATGAACCAGGGAGTGCGAATCTGCTGGCTGGCGGTGCGACCGTGTAGCGCACCCCATACACCTGAAATGTTCTTCTTCTTATCTTCCTCTTGCGCCTGCTTCTGACCATCTTTCGTGCCAAGCAAAGACGTAATTTCGCTAACGATGCTGTCGCGATGCGCTCGTCGCGCATCCTGAAGGCTCCGAACAGTTGCTGCGTCTTCAATCTCGTCGTCTGAGTCGTGGATGACCTGCTCTTCCTCCGCGCTAGTGACTAGCTCACCAACTGTCTTGTACGATACCGATGGCATGAAGAGGATCTGAACTGCGAGGATGAAAGCCGGGACGATAAGGTAGATAAGGAAGAACTTTTTGATCGAAAAGTTGCCATTAGTGCCTTGGTAGATGAGTCGGTATATCAAGAAGATCGCGCTTGAGGTATCGAAAGCTCCAGTCAAAAGCGCCAAGATGAGTCCAGAGTATTGCGGAAACGTGTTGCTGAGCTGGAACGACGAGATGAAGATAAATGGTCCACCCAGCGCCATGAACAAGTATCCAGGGATAAACGCGTCGAAAGCCAATTCCTTCGCGAATGCGAAAAGCAATGCGCCAATCGTTATAGATATCGCACCAGTTATTCCGCATACGCGAGGTCCGAAGCGATCGAGGATGGTACCGACGGGAAGCGCGACGACGTTCGTGGATACGGCGGCGATCGTAAACATGAGGTTGAGCCGGAGCTCCTGTTCGTAGCAGACGTGTACATCTTGATCTAGCTCTTCTTTTGTGCAGTAGTCTCTGTAGACGCCTTCCTCGAGGAGTACGGGTTTTATCGCGGCGTAACCGAAGACGACACCGGCGGCGAAGAGGCAGTAGATAACGGCGAAGAAGACCTGGACTACGCGATGTTAGCTTGTGTACACCCATGCTGTGTTCCGGGATACATACGCAGCCTTTTCCACCTAGGTACTTCAAATGCGCCTATGGTTGGCTCTTCGCCTGTTTGTTCGGTCCAGGTGCCGACTGGGTTGAAGCTCATCTTCCGGTGCCTGGAGTCCGGGCTCGCCTCTCTACTCCACGGCTCATGCTCCTCCATCGATGTCACTCGTTGCGTGAGCGACATGCTGGGCTAATATCTCCCCCTTTTCCAGAAAAATAAAATGTGAATAAGTCGTCTCAAGAATATCGCAAAAAGTAACAGTCTTGAGATTCTCGGCTCGCGTTCAAAGATTATCCGGGGATGACGTCGTACCGACGAAGCTCAGGTCCCTCAGAGAAGCAATTGGCCAACCAAACTACCTCAACAAGAACCACGATCTCAAAGTCCGCGGTTGAATCTCCCGTGGCACTGGAAAAGATGGGAATCAGGGTTCTATATACACAAGCACGGCGTCGAATGGCGTAAAGCGGGGACTAACTGGCCTGCAGCCGGGTGCATGAAGGCGCTGACAATCCGACGCGCTGGTTCGCGCGTGATCACCAAATGCTCGGCTTTTAGGATTCCATTACGCAGTATACACACCACGTGTGAGCCATTTCAGAGGCTATGCGCTCATTCGGGCGATCTACATTGGATCTTACGGTCATTGTTCACGTTCGCGCACGTCGTGCAGTCGCGATGTTTTGCAGCTCGTTGGTGAAGCTTGCTGCTTGCGACAGCCAATGAACGCGCGAGTCAGCCGCGGACAGGGAGCTTTGGTAACCGTGCAGATGGGATGGCATCAAATTTTCCTTTTTACCACCTCCGCCTGTTCGCTGAACGCCGATACACGATGGACGCCTCCTGCGGGCGTTTCCCGATGCAGTAATTTCGAAACTTGCGAGAACGAATGCGATTGCAGAGATTTCTATCGGTTTGCAAGGGGTGGAAGTATGCATCTCCGTCGGACAAGTCTAGATGCCCATGGTATATACTTGGCTGTCGTTCCTATGTTCCTTGGGGCTACTAGGATTATGCTTTCAAGATGCACTGGGTTTGGTCTGACATGAAGACCTGTCAGACTGGCATGTCCAGGATTACCTGGGTACAACTCTCGGACCCACCGGATATTTTGAATGACCTTCAATCACCGCAATACCGCTGTCGAAGACCTGCTGCCCATTCAAATGGTGGGTAGGAAAGACATACACTGTATGCTATGACATCAGTGAAGTTGTTGGCTCATTTGACCTTACCTAGGTATGTCATAAATTAACATAATAAGCTCCGTTCTCGTTCTCCAGCGTACGTTGCGTTCCAAGTTACGTCCCACATTCATCGATTTCGTCTTTTGACACTGTTGGCCCTCCCAAACATCAGTACAACAAGATGACTTTCTAGGTGGCTAGAACTTGGCTCAGCAGACAGGGAAAGTAGAATATGTTCGAAAGAAACCTTAGATTATATAAATAAGCATGATCGTCTAAGCCGACCATGCGACCAATACCTTGTAATGAGTGTAACACCGCTGTAGCTCTCCCGTAGGCTTCCAATTCGACCTCCATATCATTATCACTTGAGTGCGATACCACTCGGTGCAGCCGCAGATTCACCCCAACCACCCTTCTGATCGCCATCCTCATCTTCTTCCTTCTTCACTCCTCCATTCTTCTTGGACGCCGCTGCGTCGGCTTCCGCTTGACAGTCAGGGCAAAGTCGCCCTGTAGGTCGAGGTGTGCCATAGAATTTAAAGAATTCCGGCTCCGGCTCACCGAACTCCCTCTGTTTATCATCGCAAAGACCATAATTATTATACTCCCAGCCATCTGGAACGTAATTGCGACTGTGATTGTTGAATCTGTTTTTCGAAGACCAACATGGCTCCGTCGGGTGGAACGAACGGGGTTCGGTTGGATTGAAGCAAAGCTTTCGGGAGCTTCCAGACACTGGCTGAAAGTTGTTGCAGACGTGGTAATTGCCGATACACATTGTGGGATATGTTTCAGATCGTGGATCTTGGTCTTGACGAGAAATTCGGGCTTTTCGCTCGTTTGTTCGGCAGCAGTTTGTTCTTGTCTTTGAAGGCGTAGGTGAGAACAAAATGTACTGATACAACTTCAAGGGTTTGACAGCTTGTTGGTAGGGGAAGAAGAAAAGAGCGCTCATCCTCTAGCTTTTATACTTTCGAAAGCGATGATGTATACGAATGACTCCATAGAGCTTTGCGTGTCATATCTGAGTCCATCATAACAGCTGGAGATATCGATGAGTCGAGTGTTACATCGAAGCACTGGCCTGGAGTTCAAGCTGGCTTTCTCGTGCTTGAGCTTTCCACGGACCTCGCATCGCTGGGGTAGTCGATTGCAAGATTGTGGGCATTAAGCGCAGGTGCGATTTGCCGCAAGGTGGCGTCTACTCAGGAGATCTTACTGAGGAGCGCTACCAAACCCACAGAGTAGTCCTTGCTTCTTGGAACCACATGATCAAGCACTGCCAAAAGGTGGAGCGTGCGGACGGCAGTGATGTAGGACGTTGGCAACAGTGCGTAAATCGAACAAAGAAATGCGTGTTACATGACGACAGCGATGAGTAACCGACTAAACTGTCAGTGATGGAAGCAACAGCGCCAGAAATGACTGAGTAGGATAGCACGTTAAGCAAAGATAAGCATGTGATACATAAGGCTCAATGTAATTGATTTGATACGGGCAACTAGGCCCGAAACTATCCATTAGGATTATAGACATTCAATGTCTGAAGAAGAAGACAGAAACAAGATAAGACAACTCCAAACTCCCTCGCAATGCAGACTATTTTTATAGTTTTGACAAAAAGATAAGGAAAGACATGAGTATAGGTGTGATAGAGGGGTTGGAAGACTGGCAGAGAGCGCTCTTGACAGGTCATTCCTTTTTTGCTGAGTCGTCGCGTTGGCTCGACATATTCGATAGTGGGGGTTCCTCGCGTTTAGGCGTCCTCGACGGTCTTGGCGGGCTTCTTCATGTTGTTCTTGTACCAGAGAGTAGGGAGAAGTGCGCATGAGACGGTGAAGAGTACGCTGAGTCGTGTTAGCAGAGTATCAGGTACAGTTTGTTGCATGAGAACTTACCAGAGAGCGATAGCCATACCCCAGACAGTCTTGGCCTGGAAGCAGTTGCTGCGTGTGACACCGGCCCAGTGGCCCAAGCTGGAAGTGGACTTGTTGAGGTTCTCCACTGTAGCGGTAACGAAGGCGTTGGCGTACTGGGCATCGATCTCTGCGGATGACTTGCCAATCACGTAGCAGTTAAGGAACGACATGGGCTTTCCGAGAGTGACTGCGCAGACGATGAAGGCAATGAGAAGGAGAGAATCGACACCGGTCATGACAAGGAGGCCAAGGTTGGCTTGCGACCAGTAGTAGCCTACGCTGACCATGATGTAGAGAGCAGCGATGCAGGTCTAATGATGTTAGAAGTATTCAGTGATGGTCGAGGAAAGTACATACCACGCTCAGAGTGCCGACGAACTCTTTGGGTGGCTCAACACCGGTTGTGACAATCATCTGGATGAAGTTGGAGCAGATACCGATGACCAAGATCATGCAGATAGCCTGGAGGACGCGGGCGCCAAGGAACATCTTGCTCAAAGGCATGGCGTTGTAGCTGGGGACAGGCATATTGGCGGATTGAAGTTGGTTGCTGTAAAATGGATGTGGCTGAGGATGCGATGTCGAAGAAGACAGACGAGGCGATTAAATCAGCAAGGAATGGATAGCGGTCTGCACAGCAGAAGAGAGAGTGATTTCGTAGAAAGTGAATAATGAATGAGACCCAGATAGGAAACAAGGAAATAAGGAAACAGAGAAAAAAAGACGAAAAGGAAGTGAGTTGTGATGAGCTGGTTGATGATGTGTGTGATGAGTTACTTCGACGTTGCGTCCAGCACATCTTATACAACGAAGAGTTGGTTGCGATCTCAACAACAGATCGCAAAGGGCATAGTCAAGATTGCTGCTATTCTTGCTCATGGTGTGTCTGGACCACAGTCGTTTCATGGCATCTCGAGTAGTCGCTGGAGGAGCCAATGAGAGCGCGAAGCGGCGGTATCTCATAAAATGGCCCGAGCTGCCGCACTGATGCACGTAGGCGCTTACAGCATGACGAGCCTAAACGTCAAGTCTGGGGAAGCCATTCAGGTGTGTAGAATCTGCGCGGTACCTGAAGCATGTGGAGCCACAGTTTGACGTCTAGATCGACTGGGTGAGAGGTGCTGTTGCGGGTGTTGTTCAAGCTTCCGCGGTCCCACATCGACCTCCCGCCCTACCTCGCGCGCGGGAGCTATGCTGGGAAAGTGTTGAGGCTCAATCAGATGCGAGCAAGGTGGAAACAATGTTGGAGGAATGGTTCTGTGCTTTGGTGATGGCGTTGCTGAAGAAACGCGTACGCTGATGAGAGGACAACGCGACGATATGCGTCAATGCTCTGCTGGCGGATTGGTGGTATCTCATAAGCATTGGTTAGCTGATCTTTACGCGCGATTCAGATGGGTGCCCGCGTTAAGAGCGTTAAGAAATGGAGACTTTGGAAGTGAGGCGTCAAGGCTGAAGAGTTGTGCCGGACGGCTGTTGGGTGGTTTAGTACGACGCGCTCGCCGTGCCAGTGGCCGAATAACGTGATGCTGCATATGTGCAAGTCAATGAAAACCATCTTGTGATCAAGACTTCGCGAGAAGTCGCGTAACAGCACCGAGAATGGGGGTTGTTCTGCTATTCATGAAGAGGGACGATGATAGGAGCTCCCCTTTTATTGATGAATAATTTAATTACATTAACGCCGCTAGTTCTATTAAGCACCTGTTACTTGTGCTTACGCAACAACTAAGATATAGGCACCTATTACTGCCTGCTTATACGCTAATATTTTATTAATAACTTAGTTGTTGCTGCGACGTTTAAGTGCGTCTAAGAAGCTAGGTTTACTCCTATCTAGAACCTTCTAGCCTATTATTCTTTCTAAGAGCTAGGTTAGAGCTTATTTCTTGCTTTTTAACTAAGCCTTTGCCGCAGTGTTATCTATAATATTATTAGTATTTGTTTATTAAGCTATATATATAGGGAGCTCTTACTTTATTTATTAAATTACTTATAGAGTAATCTTGTATTCTAAAGATAGAGTCTAACTCTTTGTATCTTATTTTGTATCTTGTTAAATATATAGATATTTTTAGCACGTAATAATGTCTTTAACTGCATGCTTAGGACTTTAGTCTAGGCTATGCTGCATTAAGTAGGTTAGCTGTAAGTTAGGGCTAAGCGCGGAGATCTTATTAATATAGTAGTTATTATCTTAGCTTTGTTTTTTATTATTAGATGTATTGTTTTCTTAGAGCTAAAAGTTTCTTTTTAATACGCTATTATAGGTAGTAGCTTTGCTTACAAGACATTCTATATCTAGAGTACTATAGAATATACTATGCTACTTATAGAACGCGGCTATACTAAGCTTATAACCTCTTTTGAAAACCTAAAAACCCTTTTAAAGACTTCTTTATAACTAATTTATAAGTATTTTGTTTATACGGAAACATATGAATGATTAAATGATCATTATGTAGGAGCTCCCCGCACCCAGCTCGGGTCAGCTCGAATGCGGCAGGTCCAGGCGACAAAGCTCCCAGATAGCCAGACGCATACTCGCGGCTCTCACGCGACATGTGACTGATAACCGTTTCCGAGGGCCTTGGAGCTTCTTCTGAAGCTTTCTTCTATGATCACTGTATCATCTTCCTAATTGCAACCTCAAGATGGGTCTCTCGGAGTACAGACAACACAAGGCTGACTGGTGAGTTGCCCCAAGCTTCCAACACCCCACACCTCGGCCAATGCCACCAGCTGACTCTCCACCACCAGCAAGCGCAAGCAGTCGGAACGCGCCTCCAAGATCGCGACACTCCCCACGGCGTACCTGTCCCCTCTATCGTCGCAAGATCGCTCCATCCTCGGCAAACCCATCCAGGAGCTCGTCCAAGATGTCCACAAGCAAATCACCAGCCCCGTCGATATCCTGCGCACGTACGGCAAAGTCGCGATAAAGGCGCAAGAGAAGACGAACTGCGTGACGGAGATACTGTTCCCAGAAGCCGAAGAATGGGCGGAGAAGGAGGTCAATCTGAAGGGGCCGCTTGCCGGTATCCCCGTCTCATTGAAGGACTCTATACAAGTCAAGGGTTTTGACATCTCTGTCGGCTACTCGAGGAACACCGGGAAGCCTGCGACGGAAGATGGAGTCATGGTCAAGATATTGAAGGACGCGGGTGCCGTGCCTTTCGTCAAGACCAACCTCCCTACCACGCTCCTATCCTTCGAATCCACCAACGACGTCTGGGGCCAGTGCAAGAACCCCCACAACGACAAATACTCGCCCGGTGGCTCAACAGGTGGAGAGTCGGCATTGTTGGCCTTCGGTGCTAGTCGCATTGGCATTGGATCAGACGTCGCTGGCTCGGTCCGCGCTCCCGCACACTTCTCCGGCTGCTATTCGATACGATGCTCGACGGGTCGATGGCCGAAAGTCGGCATGAACACAAGCATGTCGGGCCAGGAGGCTATACCTTCCGTCTTCAGTCCCATGGCGCGCACGTTGAACGATTTGACCTACTTCACGCGAAGCTTCATCCAGATGAAGCCCTGGAAATACGACTACACCGTCCATCCGCTAGAATGGAGAGAGGATATCGAGACTGAGTTCAGGGAGAAGCCAAAGCTCCGCATAGGCGTCATGCGAACCGATCACGTCGCAGACCCTTCGCCAGCATGTGCGCGCGCACTAGACCACACAGTCGAAGCACTCAAGGCCGAAGGCCACGAAGTCTTCGATGTCGAGCCCCCTTCGCCGTACGAAGCTCTAAAGCTCGCATCGCAGCTTCTTCTCAGCGACGGCGGCAACACGTTCATGGGCCATTTCCGCACGGGAGAGTGGAATGATCTTGGTGCAGCGCAACTGGTCTACTACATGCGCCTGCCTAAGTTCGTCAAGTACGCGCACTACCTGTACGTCAAGTACGTCAAAGGCGACGACATCTGGGCTGGCTTGCTACGCGACTGGCACCCAAAGTCTGCACACGAGTACTGGCAGCTCGCTGGTAAGCGCGAGGCGTACAAGCAGAACTTCTACCAGTGGTGGTCTGAGAAGGCCAACATGGATGTCATGCTCACTCCACCCAATGCGACTCCTGCGGTACCTCATGGCGGTATGCATGATGCAGTCAGCAGCTGCGGTTACACTTTCATGTTCAATCTGGTAAGTATTCTTCTTTTCCTTTCAACACTACTGTGCCCTCACTAACTATATGAAGCTCGACTACTCCTCTGGAATCATCCCCGTAACGCACGTCGATCCTGCCAAAGACGCTCTACCATCCGACTTCAACATCAAGAAATTGAATGGGGTAGCTCAAGGCGCATACAAGCTCTACGATGCGGAGAAGATGGCTGGTCTTCCCGTGGCTGTACAAGTTGTCGGAAGGAGACTCGAAGAGGAGAAGGTCCTTGCTATCATGGAGAGAGTGGAGGATGCGTTAGATAAGCATGGTGGACGATACCAGTTACTGGAAGTGGATTGAGGGGGACATCTGAATAAATTCAATCATCACCTAGCCCTGTTAAGCTCACCCTTACATGCTAACCCGTATGTCGTATACTCCTCCTCCAAGATCGAACACCACACGTCCATCTTCTTCCCGATACTGCTCCTTGCCAAGCACTTCCCCATCAACTAGGACCGTCGCATTCCCACCCAACCCATCTACCGGAAGCCTCACTACACCCTTTGTCCCCACCGGCGTCTCAACCACCACTCCGTACCCAGCTCCACCCTTATCCTTCTCCCACCCCACTCTAAACTTCCCCAGCCCCGTAACAAAGCCCGCCTGCGCCCTCATCAAATCCCCAAACCTAGGCTCAACAATCCACCTCCTCCCCGCTGGTTCCACCACCCTCAAACCCACCACAAACTCCGTAAGCGCAGACGTAGGCCCCGAACTCCACCCATGAGCATGACTCACATAACTCGGATCATACCCATACCCCCTCTCCTGTCTATACCCAAACGTCCCATTCGTCCTATACCCCTCTATAACCGTCGAGCCAGTACCGTTACGATGGTTAGCATACCAGCCCCAGCTTCGGCGTATGAGTTCGAGGGCGCGGGTTGTACCTGTTGGGTTGGTGAGTGTGAAGTGGGCTTGGATTTCGAAGCTGGAGATGAAGGGGGATATGTTGCCGGGGAGTTCGGGGGCTTCGGCGCCGATGGGCGTCCAGTTTTTTGTTAGGGCTGTGGAGATGTCTTGGGCGGTTTGGGAGGAGGGTGGGATGAGGTCGAAGAGGATGGCCATGCTGTTTGCGTCTTGGGGGTGGAGGGTCGTCAAGGTGGCGTTGTCGCGGAAGGCGCCGTAGGTGGAGTCGAAACAGTGGGTGAGAATAGCTGTTTGAAGGGCGGTGGCGCGCGACGTCCAAGTTGCTGCGAAATTGTTGGAACTGCTTTCGTTGAGCCATGTAGCGAGTTTAGCACCGGTTTGTAGAGTGTGGTATAGAATGCCATTTGCTTCCGTATTGTTGAATCCAGTTTGCCAGCGCGCCCAGTCCCTGGTGCCGGTTTGATTGAAGAGGCCAGATGTCTCGACTTGGACTTTGGCGTATATGTACTCCATAGCCTTTTGGTACTTGGCCCAGTTCTTCTGCACAAAGGCTGCGTCGTCCGTGTATAGCATGTAGTTGTAGGTACCGATCATTGTCCACATATGATACGTATCGCTGTTTTGCTGTAAAAGCGGTGGGCCAGCTTCAGGGAATGAACCATCCGGATTCTGGTAGTCGAACATGACTTGCAGTGCGTTCTTAACGCTGGCGAGATCCCCGGTACTGACAAAGGTGGAGGGAACAGCAATACCCATGTCGCCTGGCCATACGGCACGATCTCGTTTCGCTCCATCAACAATGATGGTATCGCCTGGACCTAGAGTGCCATTGTTGGCCCACCCGTTCGCGAGCATGGGGACCCAACGTCCCGTGTTGGTGGGTACGGCGTTAGTCTGGAGCGTATATGCGCCTGCATACCAAATTCTGTTCAGCAGTTCATCGTTGGAATCGAAAAATCCTTGATAAGCCTCTAGGTTTGACCACGTAGGTTGAAAGCTTATCTCAAGCTGCACGTCTGTGACGTTGACGTAGGTACCGCCTTCCGTGACAAGGAAAGCCGTCATATATCGAAAGCCTCCTCGCATTACCTCATCTGGCATAGTGTATGTCCCTGGGCCGACAGTGCTGATGTTGACATATAACGCACCATCGCGACCAGCGAACTTCCCGTTCGATGCGTCAGACCATTCACCTACCCATGTCGACGCTTCGGAAAACGCAAGGCCAATGGCACCGGTCCCGTTGCTGGTGTATGAGATAGAAGCGATGCCACCGACTTCAATACCGAAATCGAAGATGACATTCGTCCCGTTGCCGCGGAGGACAACGAGACGCGGATAGCTTGCTGGATGACGGTCTTTGATGGTGAAAACTGACCTTGGACGGACTGTTCGCGATGATGGAGCGTAGATGTTAGAGTTCCAAGGCCCTGGTCTATTAGTAGTGCAAAATGGAGGGCGAATTTGATATAATAAATACCTTTGAATGCAGCTTCACTCGGTCCGCTGCATTCCGTGTCCCGCCAACAGGTCGCAGCCAGAGCATCCAAAGGTAGTGTCGCCAACGCGACAACGGTCCCTAAAGTTGTAAGCCAACGCATGATTGTACCGACTCAAGTCGTCCTCAAGATGCAGCAGGTTGTGCCTTCGTATTACATGTTCTTGGGAGAATTTCGACACCATTTCGTGTACTATAGAGCGCTCGGCATGCGTTACGCCGAGCCGCCCATATGGTTTTCCGGTCCGGGAATAGATGAGGTATACGATCTCCTGGATCTTCGCTGAGATGCGGGGAAATAAGCTACGAGCTAGACGCAGTAAGCTTCGCACACCTGAGCGCAGTCCGTTGGTCAAAAACCTGAGACGGAAAAGTCGCATCAGAAGGTATGGTTAAGCAATCACGATTTTGCGATAGTATCGTGCGTTGAAGTGATGGCAGCTGGAGTCAGCACGTTATTCCGAGACGACTTCAACTGATTCTGGGTGTAGTGAAAGTCTTTCAGGCGTACACGCTGGCGCATACAAATGCCATCCGCCCTTGGTCGTAATTAAATATCGTCGTTGCTGCCGCTGCCAGAGCATGAGCGAGGTTGTGTTGACGAGTAGGTTAGCATGCACAACTAAGATAAGAGAAAAGCTAGGACATCGTATAGCAGAAGAACAGCTTGATTGCGATGCAGAGTCTGAATGGGTGTCATGCGTAAAGTGACGAGACAGCGCGTTGGTCGCTAAAGCACGAGATTTACGCGCCTGATCGCGCCAGCCTGCCCAGGTGAGAACTGTCAAGGGAGGCTCTTTCCCTCCACCTACAGCCCGCGAAACCCTTCGCTATCACCATCAGAACTCGAATTCCGACCAAATCTCACTACGTCACTTTCTACATCATTTCGTCGGATGCAGTCTCCAGCCAGTGCCAGAGTAGGTAGCTGCCCCGCTTACGTCATTGCGGCTCTCGTTGTTGATCTCGACGCGACTCTGGTGCTACCCCTCATGCAGACCCTAGCGACCACTACATCCGAATCATTACTCTTCCTATCTTGGGAAGACAATCCTGAGCCGCCTAGTATGGCGCAAGGCCTTAGTTGCCGGACTTACATAGACCCAGAAGCAAAGAGCCGGACACGTCGACGCGTCAAGTCCCGACTGATGAACCGTGGGCGCATAGAACGTCATCCCTGATATCATGTACCATGGTGCCGCTAATGCAACAGTTCTTTGACAAATACCCGCATCGGGATGCAGAGCACAGCTGCCGATACGCTGGCATTTCCAGACCGCATGAGGGAGGGACCACGCTAAATGGGTGGAGGGGCGGGGAATCCAGCTAAGCAACGAGCGCTGGGTCCAAGGTAGGCTTTATATAAATGTCTACCGCTTCTCGAATACCTTGTTGTCCATTCTCCCTTACATACTTTGACATCTAAACTCGATACGGATATTCAAAGAGACCAATCAGATCATCATGACGGACTTCAAGGGACATTGCCATTGCAAGCAGACAGAGTGGACTGCCACCCTGCAGCAGGATCAGCAGGCACACATCCTATGGTGAGCAATGCCATTCCGTTCCTCCAGCAACGATTCATTACAGGTTCGAGCTAACAGCTAATTAGCCACTGCAACACCTGTAAAGAACTCTCCGGTTCCACCTACACGCTCAATCAGATCATCCCCAAGAAAGCACTCAAGATCACCAAGGGCGACGATCTAGGCAAATACACATACAAGGGTGACTCTGGAAAGAGCGTTCATTGCGTATGTCACCCCCTGGACTTCCCATGCAAGTGGAGAAGAGGGCATTTACTAACGAGTCTTGATAGTTCTACTGCAAGAACTGCACGTCACACGTGTACCACGAGCAAGAGGCCCTCGGCCCCGACAGCATTGTCTTGAGGACGGGATTGTTGGACGAGGGTGTCAAGAACTTCAAGCCTGGTGCGGAGATCTTTGGCAAGGACCGTCTATCGTGGGAGAAGGAGGTCGCGCAGACGTTCGAGGTTATGCCGCCTTCGTAGACAGACATATTCGATAGCATACATATACGAATATATCATCATAGTCATCAAGGCTTTCAGAATATTCGCCACAATTGGAACAAGGTGTCTTTCGCCGTGAGACATGTCATTCTAGATTGGATGCGTATATAACATTATATCTTATCCCAACTTAGTCAGAAAGCGGCGGGAAACTCCTCAAAAAGTGGCTCGGGCACTCGTAGCCGCCCGGGTTGTGGTCCAAGTACAATTGGTGGTACTGTTCCGCATCCCACCATTTCCCTGCAGGTAGGATCTCTGTTGCGACGCTTCCCTTCCACCACTGCTTGTTCACCTTGTCGGTAACGTCTCGCGCAATCTTCTCCTGCTCGGCATCGTGGTAAAAGATGGCGGATCGGTATTGGCTGCCAACGTCTGGACCTTGACGGTTGGAGGTGGTGGGATCGTGCATCTTGTAGAAGAATTCGAGGAGGGAACGGTAGGTTACTTTTTCGGGATCGTAGACGACTTGGAGGGCTTCGGCATCTGGTTTACTAGTCAGCTAATGGCCAGAGATCACGTCACGCCTCGTGGCGCGAAAAAGAAGCGAGGGATACGTACGACCAGTGCGCCCGCTGCATACCGCCCTGTACCCCGGGTTGTCTGTGTCACCACCGATATATCCAACCCTCGCATCGTACAAGCCCTTTCCCTTGTACTCTCTCCGGTACATGTGCTCGACACCCCAGAAACATCCGGCAGCGACAGTGGCGGTTTGCGCGCCCGAAGGCACGTTCATGGGTTGCGCGGGCGCATTCGACATACTGCTGAAGGGGCGAAAGAATCTAGTCAGAAAGGACATGGACAAGTAAGATGTGACGACCAAAAGGAAGAGCGTGAGGAGCTTCAGTTTGATGGTGGTAAAGTATGTGATAAGAGAGAGAGGTTTACTTTGGTGGTGAGTTATTATGTATCGCAGTTTGCCGCTTCGATTGGGAAAAGGGCAATGGACCGCGGCGATGATGCCATCATTTGGCGTGACAAATCGAAGGGTCCACGGCCACGCTTCAGCCACATGGGTGGCGGTGGGGTCGCTCCTTCGCGAAGGTTGGAACGCCCGACTCGTGCATCTTCCTGATCACATATTCCCACACACTACGGGCTTCCTAGACAGCAGTGCACGCTCTCTTTGACGCATCGCAGTGTTGCTTTATCTGACGAGATTCGCGTGCCGCCTTCTGCCCGCCCCGCTACGTGTCTTTACCCGGATAAGTCGCAGCCGATGTCTCTGCAGCCTTTCGGCATCAACACAGGCTCGAATCCTCCAGCACTGCTCTTTGCATGATGTCCTGCTTCTTTGCTACTTGATCCATGGCTGTAGCGTTGCCTGTTCGAAGGACGCGCTCTTGGAGATTTCGGCTATGTCCCAGCGGACCCATCCTACGCTTTCGGGAAAACACTGCGCAGTAGGCTGGAGTGACTCGGGACGTATAAGCGGCGGGACCGGGACGTGGATTCTATTACACTCGCGTTAGTGTCATGGAGACGTCTCTTCGTTCCCTCTCTTGTAGTACCGGACGCCCCCTCAGCTCATAGTTGCACGTACAGCTTTACGAATGTCGTGTATCAAGCATACACAGTCAGCTTGCTGTTTTCGCACTCAACTGACAGTCCCATAGTCCTACCCTCCAAGTCAGGTCCGGCTGACAGCTTTGGTCGAATCACCCCGGCACGATGCGCGTAATTAATTCTCAATCTATTTCGCCTGAAAGCCTTGTACCGGTTACATCCCGCGTTGCTGAACCGGCAGTAGTTGAATCTAGGCTCATACGATGCATCCTTGGTCGTGGCGTCGCTCCGAGTCACCACGTGCGTCCAACAGCTGTTTGATGCATGCACTTGACTAACTCTTCTAAGATTATTTTTAGATGCATCTCTAGACCTCACATCTGCAAGGGCAGCAAATCGCGTTCGCTAAAATTGATCAAGGCAGGGCCTCGAGCACCGATGGAGCGACAAGCTTTAATATAAGGTTAATCTACGCGCCAAGAACTCCTCACTTCTCCAGATCTTTTGAATTGGACGTCCACGATACCCTCGCAGTACTATGCCGCTCGTTCCAGGCAGGGAAACTATTTTCAGTCTTCGCTTCCGCACATGTTCCGCTGCTGCATTACATACAGGATCTGTAGATGAAAGACAATATCCGGATGAGCTTGTTTGCTTCTCGGTCAGCTTCGTGGACTGCCTATACCCAGCATCCAGGCCCGGCGTTTCTATTCTGAGTTCTGCACCCTAGGCAAATACGCTCGACTCATCTCGCTTTCATATCTACATCCACTGGGCTGGCCAAGATCTATGCGAGGAAACGGCTCGAACCCACAGCGACTCGCTTGTGCAAAAAGACTTTGGTACCCTAGCCGTCATCTGATATGAAATGGCCACGGTATACCTCGTAGACCGCGAGTCTGGGTTTCGTATTGGCTATCAAGAGAATCTATATGCCCACGCGACGGATGTGCTTTTACTTTCAGCAGCTGTACCGCCGGCACTCGGTTTCCGGGTAGGTTGCATACGGCGCCACCAAGTTGTGCAAGAATTCGTGATACTCGCATGTCAGCAAACCTCGCCAAAAGACATTGGCATTGGTGATGCCGAGAGTTCCACGCATACTGCACCACCTGGTGGCGCAGACGTACGATATTCAAAGAGCCGCCACGATTCAGGGTTCAATCTCCTCGCGCCCGGAAAACTCAAATGAAGATGCTCCGTTGCTGTGATTCGGGTTAGGATTGCAGCTGGAAGCGAGATGCACGGCGGAACGAGACTATCACATACCCCAGATACCGACACTTAGCCTGGAGGCTGGCTCAGAATGTATCCACACGGAACAATATTTCAGCTAAGCGGACAACACGAACTCAGCTGAGCAACTTCTGCGATTCTGGACCTATGAGCACGAGCGGGCCGCCGGTCCAATCGTACTCGATAGTGCCATTGGCACTTGGCAGCTGTTATCGTGGTCGGACTGTAGATATCGCCCAAGATGGTGTTGCCGCGGTAGTGGTTAAGACAATCAAAGGTAAAGGGCTGGCGCCGAGGGACTGGTATATAACCTGGTCCATATTCCCTTCCATGATCCTCATCCAGCTTCTACTCTCGGTCTCATCTACCACATCATCAGCTCTCCATCTAGCCTTCTCCGAAGACCATCTTTCCAAACTATCAACATGAAGTGGCTCCTTGCTCTCCTTCCCCTCGCGGCAGCAGCCCCTGCGTTCCCCAATGTCGAGCTCGGTGATGCCCCACCACCCGGTCAGGTACGAGAAACTCAGATGGAAATTTCCGAAACGATCAACTCACGCAACACAGGTCAAGATTCGCGGTGTCAGCTATGGAGGAACT